GTCTATAGGACGTCTATTTGTTATAATGATGTCTATAGGATGTCTATTTATTACAATACCTGTGGCTCCCCTATGTCCCACACACCAAAGGAGTGCCCAGGGAGCATGGCCTTTTCCTGCCGCAGCCCCCACGGGGCAGCCTGGAAATGACGCCAACGTGAGACACGGTCAGAGCTTTTGGAGAGGGGGAGCAGTTTTCAGTAGGGACTCACTGCAGGATTTCTTGGTTGGCATGACCTGAGGACTGCCTAAACTAATTCAATTTACATCACTGATCATGGCAGAGGCAGCACTCAGGTGTGTTTAGCTGTGTAAGATGCCATGGGCTGTATTCAACAGCAACGTCACTGCAGGAACAAAATACGTGCCTATTGATGGTCCAACCTTGAAGGCGGATTGAGCCTTCAGATTCCAGATGGCTCCAAGGAAGACAAGCAATGTGCTATCTCAATTTCTGCCTAGAGGATTAGGAGGACTTAGGACAATTTGTCATCCAGCAGTTACACAGCAGACTCAAAACAAAGGCTGGTTTCAATGCTAAACAGGTGAAGCAAGAGGAAACCAATGCTCGATGACAACAACTCTACATTTTTTTTTTAACTCCATCAGCCTTTCTAGGGGAGAGTCACAAAAAGCTGCAGAAGCTTTTTCAAGTTTTAAGATTCTGAACTTCTCTGAGCTACACAAGACCCAAGATTTGGATTTGGGGTGAAAACAGTTTGATAACGCTGCCTGCTGGCTGCTTCCTATACCAGCAAGATCTTACTTAACCCAAAAGAATTTTACTAAACAGAAGTTCCTGGTTTTGACACACAAAACCACAAGGTCACCAAGTCAGGGTGGATGAAGTTGCTCCAGTAGTTTCATTGTTAGAGGTGCTGTAGCAATTATTTCATGTAGGCTTTCCCAGCTAGATGGCTAGAGATCTAGCCTGATGACTGAAATCCTCCCTTATGCTGTGGGGAAAAGAGTGGCACCATTGTAATGGCATTGCAGTATCACCCAACCATGCTTTGCTTTTGGATGGCCGAGAGATGTTGAGAGGACCAGATACAGGTCACTGAGAACTGAACGAAAACACGACATGACTACGGGTGTTGCTGTTTCTCCCAGCGCATGTACAGAATAGCCAACACCATTACCGAGAATTCCTTCCAGGAAGCAATAAAGGCAGCAGCGGGTGATTTATTGAGACTTGGCAATTCTTCCCTTGGCCCTAAAAACTGGAAACTAACACAACAATAATATTTCTTTTTTAAAGGGAAGTCATTCTTCTTGGCTTCCCAGTTCAACCCATCTATACCACACCTTTCTCACACAGCCTTGGATACGGCAGAGAACATGACTGTCATTTATTAAATACGGAATAGTGCTCCCTTACGGCACTAGCACAAGCTGCAGGTTTCACTCGGGTCCTTTCTAACCTCTGCTTGTGGACGGAATTCCATTTCTGCAGAGAATACAAGACGGTCCCTTGAAAAAATAAGGTAGATGCAAACCTTCAAATATTCTTGGCCCTTGGAAAACACTGAGGATCCCGGTGCCATCACTGGCTCTCTACAAACTGACATGGAAGCACACAACATTGCTGCAGAGGCTGCCCAGCCACCATAAACCTGGCACACAGAGTGTGAGCACCAGCAGGCACATTTCTCAGGCACCGAGGTTCTTCCTTTGGTAGATGGGTTTTCTGTCAGATCAGTGTGCTGCATGGTGACCCACTCCGGACACACCAAGAGAGGTTTGGTGAAAGGGAAGCCATGAAAAAAAACACAAGAGGCAGGAGGGGAAGCAGGGCTGCTGCTTTTAGCACAAGCCTGCAGCTAGAGCAGAGTGTAACGTGAAGTGCAGCACAAGGGCTCGCTTGCAGAAAGGGAGATACTTGAGATTAGTTTATTGTGTCTCTCATTTATTGCTTTCTTTAGGCAGCTGTATGGGGATGTAGGAGACTGTCTGGCGTGAAAGTTCAGAGATAGATTAATTAGATTCAATGGCAAGATTATGGATTTTATGCATGAGCCACCTTTGATTGTGGAAAAAGTTAAAGCATGTTCTCCATAAAGCTTGGGAGGTTTCTCATAACACTAGTACAAGTAGGTAGATGAAGAGATGTTAAATTCCTAATTGTTTCTTTTATCTTTCCTGTGATAGAGACAGAGTTCTGTTTTAAAGACGTACCAAAAACCAGGTCTTTCATCTGGAGTGTAAAATTCATGTGTTCCCTGACCTCATGTGTCACATGGTAATGAAACAACGTAAATCAGAAATGTTAAAAGTTGAAGTTTGTTAATATTACTGCTGAAGCTCCAGTCTCTTTCCTGGTTAAGCTGACAGGTCCATAGTCCAAATATATATATTTACAGATTACAACGACATGAAGAAAAAAATTAATGGACACCCAATGAGAACCAAATGGAAATGCAAGTTTCAGATGACTATCTGGAAATTAAAAAGAAAAAGAAAGAAAGAAAAAAAAGCTCAAAAAACACACACATGTATTTTAATTGGGGTGATGGACTTTCTTTGTATTGTACTACCACCTTACTCCTAAGGAAATATTTTAGTGATTTATACTCTGTGGGGAAAATTTAGCAAACATACATTTTGCATTCTCTTATCTATATTTCCTTCTCTGTTCTTTAGCTGCCTAGCCTGAAGCAGTCACCAAGGTACAAAATGTACCTTCCCTAGTTGAAGTCATTATGCACTGATATTTTCGGGTGGGTGAACCAGAGGTTCTGGCCTGCCTCTTCCTGAGACTGCTGCAAAACATTTCTATTCTTCTGCATGATGACACTGAGATCTGTGGTTCTGCATGTCGTTAATTGCTATTAATTCCTATGTTGGAATATTTTTGAAGTGTGTAACTATTGCACTGTGTATCTTACATTCAGATCTCTGCACCACAGATCACTGAGGGCAATGACCAACACCACCCAAGGTTTGGATGCAGAAGACAGAATTGTGGTTGCAGCCCCAGTGCTAACGCCAGTTTTATTGGGACAGAGCGAATTATACCTTCCACAGATCTTGCAGGTGGAAGGGCAGACCTATCAGTGTTCCTGCTTACACTGCAGTGACTGTGCATGTACACTGAAAGAGCCCCAACCCTCACCCCCAAGGCTGTACCTGGCCCCACAGACAGAGTAGATGGGCCCCTACAGCCCTCTCCATTTGTTCCCAGCCCTTGACAGCTGCTTCAGCAGAATTGGCTGAATTTGATGTGGACCAGAGGTGGCGAGAGCTCAAGGTCATAAAGCAACACAAAGATGTTGGGGAGATTGGGCTAGGGCCAGCCTTGGGACACAATGAGGAAGGCTTTTTCAGGTGCCCACTGGCCTGGGAGTTATTAAAAATAAAAAGCAGCTTCCATCTTTCCTCCTCTCTCCTCCCATAAAATCCATGGGGAGTCTCAAAGAGAATCTGAAAACAGGGACATTTCCATAAAGCTCATTTCACACAGGGAAATCCAACTCATTACCTTTAACTCAAAAAAGTCAAGACTATGCCAAAGCATACTGTGCATTTGAGATAATCACAGGTAAGTCTCCTATTGCAGGTTTTTTCCCATATTAAATGGATTGTGAAAGCAACTGGAAAGCAGTTCACATTCAGTTATGTGAACTACTGCTGTCCAAATCTCACCTTACAAAAAAAAATTACTCCTTCTGCAGCAGACGATAGAAAGGAAGCCAGTCTTCAAGGTACAAGGTGAAATCCTGGCTCCATTGTATTCATTTGCCAAATTTGACTTGACTTCAACAGAGCCAGGATTTCCCCCCTAAAGATTTAGCTATAGTAAGCTGGGGAACATCTAAATGGCAGAGTAGAAAAACAGGTTATGGAGCCCTTAGATCTCCATTTGTCCCCACAAGCCAAGCACCACAGTAACACATGACGTGAGAATATTGCCTTGGCTGAGTTCATAACGATCAGTTTTCCAACTCAAAAGATTCACATTATTACTGAAGTTTCTGCAGGTAATCCTAGCAGAGAAATCAAATGTAACAGAGACAAAGTGCTTCTTTCATCTTTACAGACAGTCTTTGGAGAACAACTATCGCTGCCACATCTGGTGATTCCGAAGCTACATCAATTTTATTTTCCTTTGTAAACTACTACTGACCCAATTTTCTCTACTGTTAGTGTTATCCTGACCATCCTGCTTCATGCTGCTGTCAAGGAGTCTCTTCAAGTGGAAGGGACTGAGACAATGTGAACTGAGGGAAAAACAACCAAGAAATGAAATTCTTCATCAGAATGAAGACAAGTGACCACGAGTATGAAAAAATGCATAACAACTGAAACAGTGCAGAACATTGCAATGGCTGAGCAAATTCATTCAGCACTGCTACTAGCACCAAATCGAGGGCAGCAATTCCCACAGTCAAAATCTAAAGATTTTCACGGAAGACACAAATTTTATTATGTCTTTCTTAATCCTTGTTTCAGTTTCCAACTCAGTGTGCATTAATTGGGATGGGTGAAAATCTGTTAAGTAACATAATTTACCTGGGTTTTGTTTTCTTAACTTCCTGAATTCTGAAAAATCAGCTACTTACTTCTCCATTATTGGATCCAATGCTGTAGCATGGATGCAGCATTGCCACCCAGGATCCAAATCCTAAAGCTGTTTGCTAGTAATGCTGACTGCCAGAACTCAGTATCTACAACTGCAGCAAAAGGCTGTACAATAACTTGCCATGGCTGAATACAAAAATAAAATAAAAAATAAAAAAATCATTTTTTCTCAGTCAAACTCATTCTAATAATGTTATCTCACTATGAAATTTGCTTATTTATTTACTATTTTTTATTTATTGAACTATAAGAATAATTTTACTATAGCATTATTGACTATATTGCTTCTCTTGCATTCCTTATCAGTTTGAATTACTTAAATTATCTTATACTACTATATAAATACTGAAATATATGCAAGATTATACAGCATATAAACTAAGAGACAGTAATCTCAAAACTACAATTAGTATACTCACTTGAATAAAGGAGTTCCACAAACAACACATTTGTATATTCCTTGAGCTTTGTGATGTGTGTACTCCCCCTCAAAGGCACTGGGAAAACAATAACACTACATTTTAAAAATAAATAAAGGATTTATTTTTTTAATTATTAAATTAGCTAGGACTTTAGAAAAATATTAAAGAAAAAAAATAATAGTTTGCAGTTGTTTTTTATTAAATGAAGCAAATAAAGCAGGCATGGGAAAAGGGGAATGTCCTCATTAGTTTGCCTCAGGTGTTACGCATCATGCAAGAGGAAGCAAATTGTCACACAGTTTAAAGGACAGAACAACAACAACAACAACAAAAAGAGGAGAAAAACTGGAATCTTCCTCTATTTGGTAAATGAAACATAAGTTTTCATAAGCATGGATTGTTTGAAATTTAGCAATTTAGCTTCATCCTATGCACTTCTCTGGGTTTGCCTTTAGAAAATGTTTTAGCAATGCATTCAGATGCTGAGCTGGAGGTGTAAAGCTTTTGGGTGTCTGCCATAGAGCAGATAATGAAGAGTCGGTGTTTGGTGAGTCCAGGATGGGCTGGAAGGGTGACAGAAGTATTGTAGCTGAAAATGAAATAATTGGTCCATGATTTCAAGCTGTGTGCGCCTTATATTTTTAGTTGAAAAGCAATATTACAGCTTTAAGGGAATATTTTTCTAAGTTAACAATCTAAGAGGCTAGGAGGTCATTCATCTAATACGAATCAGCTGTGCTAGTCCAACAAAAAGCCTATGTGCTCGGCAGCTTGTTTTTATTATCCTTTCACCCTTTTTATGAGGTCCAATTTTTTTTTATAAACAGGATTTTTAAGAATGACCTAATCTCCGATTGTTTGTGCGCATTAAATCACGTCGCTGGTCCCGTACACAAGCAGGAGGGATGCGGGGCAGGAAAGCCTCGCGGCGGAGGCTGCCATCCGTCCCCGTGCCCGGCCACGGTGGTGGGGGGATGGAGGGATGGGGAGGAGAGGGGATTATCCCGCTCCTTCCCATCCGGCACATCCCATAAACATGCTCTGTCAGGAGGAGCGCTGCCTGTTAAGCGGGACCCCATGTGTGGTAAAGAGCCCTTTCAGGTCATGAATGAAAACAAGCAGTTACATCATTAGGGCGTTTGGATCAGAGGTAAAGCCGGGGCCTTATGCCAAGCTCAGTGGTATAAATTAGACAACAAAAATGGTTAGGCCTTGGCAAGTTACCTTCGTGCTGGAATCAGCTGAGAGAGACTTTATTCACTAAAAACAGTCCTGGAAGCAAGTCCTTTTTTTCCTCCAGGATTCAGGGCTGGCTTCCAACGACTAAAGCCATGTGAGGGCAGTTATTGAAAATTTTTGACATTCCAACCACAAATGAGCCAATAAATACCTTCTCCACATGTGCTTCAAAAAGAAATTGGAGTGGGGTGGAAAAGAACTAAATTATGCTACCTTCTTTCTGCAGCCAAAATGTCTATACTTACAATGACCACCTTCAAAACTTCAGCGTCCTGGCACGGGGCCATTTCCCTCGTGGTTCTGCTTACTGTGATGTCTTCCAAAAAGTGTACCTAAACCGCTATTACTTCCACACATTTTGTAGTAAACTAAAAACAGACTCTAAACATAAGCCCCGAGACTTTATAAGACATACAGTGTTCATTAAAAGTCACACAAGACCCCTGGCCGTGGCCTCCACGCTGCAGATGCTTGTCTTTTCGGTGGTGTTAATTTGTAGGGGTTAGTAAACAAGTGCAGAATTCCTGGAGAAAAAAAAAAAGTTGCTGGGGAGGATGAGGAAGCACCAGCCAGAGGAAAGGGAGAGAAGAAGGATGCCTGTGTTTCGAGGACCTCGCTCCCTTCGCCCTGCCTTACCTTTCGGTCCCCTTCTCCTGAGTGACATGGTACTGCAAGGGTGTCAGCCGCTTCCTCAGCTCCTCCTGGGAAAAGACCACCTTACAGTCTTTTTTATCCCTACATGACCCTGCAAAGGGAGAGGATATGGGAGAAGGAGCCTTTTTAGCTTAAATCCTGAATAATTGCTTTGGCAGACGGCCACAGCATAGCTTCTGCATTCACTTGTCAATGACCAGACCAGTCCCTAATGCACGAAGAATGGCTCAGCTGAACTGCAGCTGATTATTTCTTCAAATCCAAGTTTAAAAAGAATTTTGCTCGAGAGCCAGGTGATTCCACTGGAGCAGTGACAATGTGCTACAGCCAAAGCCCTTCCGTGTGTTGCGCACACAATCATTCACAAGAAAGTTACATTTCCCAACCATTAAAAAAATAAAATAAAAAAAAGCTGCAAAAAATAACTACAACCAAAATGTTCTTTACAAGACATCTATATTGGAGACTTATGGTAATGGGCATATGATGTTCAGCCACAACATCCAACGATTTTGTTACCCTTTAAAGTAGCTCAAAATAAATCTTTAGAATTCAAATACGGTTGATTTAACTTTTAGTAGCATCCTAGTCCTTTTACTTTATAACAGTAACAGTTGGATCTTTTCCCTGCTGAAGCACTGGAATAGGAGCCCCAAGGAGCAGGTCATTTCTTTGCAACAAGAGGCACCAGGTTCAATAGTAAAGTTGCCTTAATATTTAGAGTTGCTATTGAAATTACCTGTCTTTGAAAATCTCATCTTATATTTTGCTTAATTCACAAACAAAAAAATCCAAGGAGCACATAGGGATTACTGTAAAAAACATTGGTATAGTGCAAAAAAATCACATTATGGAAAAAAAAATAATAATAAGGCTGCTTTTGAGAATGAAAATTCCCAATAACAGAAATTACCAAATGTTAAAATAACTTTGATATTCTCTTGCAAAAAATGAGCTGACACAGTACAGCAGGTAAAAAGCGCTCTAATTATGACAGTAATTAAAATATGTTACAATTAGAAATAAACAGTCCCGACAAAAATATTTTTTGCTAGTAATGCATATACACTCATAAAAAGACCAATTGTGTTCCCAAAGTAGAGGGAACAGAGCTACCCATCTGTATGTCATTTAGTACAGGAGAGGCAATGGCAGGTTTAAATTACATGGTATTGGATTGCAATTTCCTAACATTGGATGCTTTTCTGCTTTTTTACCTTGAGTCATTACTAAGGAGTGTTCATAAAAAGTAGCTTAAAGCACAGATGCTTGCAAATCATTTAAGAAAAGATGTTTCTTTCTTCCTCCCCCTCTTCTTTTCCTCATTTTTTTTAATGTGTGGGGGTGGGTGAATAGGGGAGAGAGAAAAAGAATAATGCTGTTGGTCACTACTGACTAACCCTAGGAAGTATTTTCAGGAAGAAAAAAAAAAAAAAAAAGTAAAATTGAAAACATCTGATTGAAGTAAATAGTGCAAACATAAAAAGCTTTACTAGTGAAAGAAAGGTATTGAAAAGCGACTTTATTTCATAGATTAGAAATTACTTTTGATCTAAACATTCTTAAAAACAGATTGTTTTCCACTCCGAGCCATCTCATTAGCTGTGCTGCAGAGCCTGCGTTTTAATGGCAAGCTTTGAAAGAGCGCTGCTGTATGCCTTTGTTAGCTTCAATCTTATTTGGGAGAGGGATAAAGATTTCATTCCAGTTCTCTTTGTTTGTCTTTCAAGAACCACTAAGGCAGTATTCACACAAATTTTGCAGGAATGTGCCCTGTGCCATAGCTTACAAATTATTTGGTTTTGGTGCACTTAAAGGTCACCTTCCAAATTAGCAAAATTTTCCTACATCCTGGCTTTTCAACCTTAAATGTAAATATTGTTTCCTAACTGTAAGTGAGGTTTGTTCTTTATAACATTTGGTTGCTTATTTAAAGATGTCAAACTTTGGAGGTTTTTATTCTCACAACGTGCTGGGCTCTAGGACTAATAAGTCTTTCAAAGGATAGCTAGCAGGGAAAGGAAGCATATGCATTATATAAATAACTATTGTTATGTTGCACTATGCAGTTCAGAAGGAAACTGTTTGAGAGCTGGTCTTCCATCTAATATTTCAGTACCAAAAAATTAGTCAGGAGAGCAGCAAGGAAGCCTACAAACCAACACCTCTTCACTTTTAAAAATATCTTAATATCTTCCTTTTTTTTTTTTTTTTTTTTCTTCCAGAAGATCATTTGCTCTTTAGCTATTCCAAAAAAGCAAACTAAGCATAACCCCGTATTGAAAAAAGTCATGCAAAACATTAAATGTTTTACAGAAGAGCCAGCATTCCCTCTTTGCTCTCCTTGAATAAATTCTCATCTCTTTCAGAAACATTCTTCAACCAGTGGGCTCTTCTATGCACAAGGAAATTTCTATATGCTACTTGAATCCGTGACATAGATCAGAAGTAGGGAGCATGTTATAAAAGATTTTTCCCCATCGTTTTTAATAATTAACTGCACGTTTTACGATACAGACATGTATTTATGTCTGCAGGGGAATCTTGCTAATCTGCCCGGGGGTAAACTGCAACCTGCCCCAGCAAAGGTCTCTGCAGGTTTCTGATTTAATGCAGTATACAGCAGCAAAAAGCTATGCTTGCACTACAAATCAGAAAGGAAATCTCTTGGTCCAGCCCTCGGCATTAAGGAACAGCCCTCTTCAGTCAGTTGAGCGTACTCTTTAACTGCTAGCCACAAAAAAGAAAGGCTCAGCAAACTGAGTGCACTGTTTCCATACTGCCAAAGAGACAGGGAGGTAATGCAAGACTGAGCCACAACTGGAGGGTGGAAGGATCCATCATCTGAATCATGGCTAGCCTACAAGCATGAAGAAAATGCAATATATCTTAAAAACATCAGGATGGGATTCTGGGAATGGAGTTGGGAAGAAACTACCATGCAAGGGGGGACAAAAACGCTCAACCTGCAGTACATGATCAGCCACCTCTGTCTGGGAACCTCCTTTATGGGGTATGTGGGAGGTCTGCTCCAGTCAGATCTGCCTCTACCTGGTGTGGGGACAATGTAAAGCTACCCACATCTGTGTGCAGCTACGAGGGAAGCTTTGATGGGTAGAGCTGCCAGCAAACCCAGTGGGTTGTTAAAGAAGGGAATAAAGGTGGCCCTGAGCGCCTTCCCCAAAGGAGGGACCCAATGTAGCCTTGTGGGAAGGGGTCCCATGGGCAACAAAACCCTCCTGGGTGACTTTGGCCTGAAGCAAGGCTCTCCACTCACTTGTAAATGCTACTGCTCGAGGCCGGAGCCATCAGTTTTCCATCAGCGTGATTACGTTACAAAGGTAAGGCTAAATTAAATAAGCCTAACTAATTTATTGAAGATCAGAGACTTCTGATTCATTTGGTATACCTCTGGACTCCGAATGGGACCCAACTTGTTCTCCAGCAGTGAAGTACTCCTAGCAGTGCCTTTCGAGGAGCTGGGGACCTCCTCTGAGAGACATCTTTTCCTACAATGCACGCACAGGTTCTGCTCCAAGATCCGAGTCCAGATGAAATCTTTCCCATCAGTTCACCGTGGTGTGCCCATTCTCCTTGGTGCTCATGGGGGAAGCAGTGCACACAGCCCTTCCAAACCAGGCATTGATGTTTCCACTTCAGGCCACCTGCCTTCAGCCTTTTTCCAGCAGTTCCAGCAGTGCTAAAAGCTTCTGGGATCTTGGAGCAGGATGGAAAGCCTCTCAAAGACAAGGCCAGGCTCACAGATCTTAATGCATAAATATTTTATAAAAAGTTCAGGAGGGTGAGACAAACAAAACCAGAAACACTTCTGGAGCCTTTGTGGTGTTCCTGTACTTAGGAATGGCTTTTCTGAAAAGAAATGCGATGTGTGCTGCAATTTACTATTCACCCACAGACCGCGGGCATTTTAGAGTTCAGCTCTGGAGTCTGGAGGCCTTCCCGATAAAAATGAAGTGAAGAGAAAGTATTTGCTGGGTGTTGACCTGATAATGAAGACATTAAGCATCTCACCTCACATATAAATTCCAATTTCCATCGACCTTTTCAGACCTGTGGTTCGTAGCGCCGGTGAGCAAGTGCCATTTCCTTCAGTACCACCAATCGCAAGGAAACGAGCAACAAGATACGTCCAGGCAGACTGACACGAGTTAGCAGACCATTACTCCTCACCACTCAGCCCTTCACCTGCTCTGGCGTGCCGCAGGGTGTCGAGCAGTGTCTGACGTGCCCTGAAATGCCCTGGTGCTTTGCCTGATGGCTTTCCTTCCTTACATCGTCTTTTGAACCCTCCTAATGATTTTCTCTTCTGTCTTGTTGCTTCCCATCACCACCAAATGAACTCAGCTTTTCAGCTTCGTGGAGGACACGGCATACATTTTCCTCTTCCTACGAATGCTTATGTTCCACCAGCATTAATGGACATTACAGTCATGCACCGAGCACACACCATTAAGACTTCCTGAATTAAATACAGCAAGATCAAATGTTCCAGCAGAGCACAGCCATATAATAAATTGGGCTTCCAGTTTTCAGTACCACTCCTTTTAATATACCTGAGCGTTTTTTTTAGGGGCCTTGCAGCACGTTTTATTATTCATACACCACCACAGCCTCAGTCTACAGAAGGGTCTGTGAATGCAAGTAAACCTGGCTCCTGGCACACATCTCCCTGCTTCCCAAAGCCCATCCCTCTGCAAGTGGGTTGGACCTTACTCATCCCTGGTAAATTATCTCACACTGATGCTAAGAGGAATCCTCCAAGGTTAAAAAATATTCGTGTACATTACTTTACACAAATACCCTTACAGATGATATCCCTAACACTCAGGTTTATTAAAATGGGAATCTCTCATTTTTACTCTTTTAAATTTTGTTTACACAGTTTATGCTGCTTGTTTAGAGTTTTGCCTCTCTCTCTCTGCTTGGGAAAAGAAGGATGGACGGCTCTGTTTCACTTCTGTTTAGTCTGTCCTCTGCAGCCTTTAGTCTGTAGCCTACTGCAAACAAGCCGGGAACTGCTGGTCTAGTTAACAAAAATTAAAAAGGAAAACAACTCTTGAAAATGCAAATCAGTGCAAACATTTTTGGTCAGCCCGTAAATCTGAATGCTATGTTTTAAAAAACCCTGTATTTGATGTCATAGATCTTTATGTACTCCCATCACAAGCCATTTTAAACCACCTAATCACGCGGCTGCCTAGGAGAGATCCTACAAAAGAACTCAAAAAAGTGGGAGGTCAAGTTTAAGTAAAATCCAGACTTGGTAATTAAAGAAACCCTGTAAATGTTCTACACATTGAAAGACAGATCTGTGGTTCTTCTCTGAGGGATGGCTCCTTTGCTTTCTTGCTGTAGGTAGCTAACTCCCACCCACTGCTGAAATACCATTTGCAGTTTCATGCAAGCATTAGGAGTAATGGGGCGAAGACCATTTCCACTACATTGTGCGTTGAAAATCCAAAAGCCGGGTACCAGGACAACAGCTAAAATTTTGGGTCAAATGCCAGGTTCTTGTCTTACAAGAACAACACCAAAAAAATTTATCCATCTTTAAAAAAAATGGTTTGCTTAACACCCAGGAGGGTCACAGGGCCATGAGGGAAGGGCAAGCCAGCTCTGGGCGAACTCACAACCTTCCCATGCAATCGAGCAGCAGTCACCATGTTTCTTTTTTTTTTTTTTTCAGCTGGTCATCAGCATGGCTGCTGGCTTGTACAGATGTAAGTATTCCGAGTCACCATAGATCTACCACATAAGAAAACAACCTCGTCTCTACCTCCTTATCTTGCATTAGTGCAATCCACGGCATTGCCAGCCCTGGCCCCACAACCTCACAAGCTGCAGGCACCGAGCACTCCAGCATCAGCTCGTGCTGGTGCAGGGGGGCAGAGCTGCCCTGGGGCTTTCCAAGCCCCCAGCTTGGTCAGGATGGCAGCATGCAGTGATGGCAGCATGCAGCGGCTGCTCAGCAGTGGCTGGAGAATAGAAGCACCTTCAATATCATGGAGAAAATCCTCGTGGCATTAGAAGCTGCCTGTTTGCTGTGATGGCCAAAAATGGGGCACAGGACAGCTGAGCTCTTTGCCTTGCTCTCGGATGCAAACCGGGCAAGACAAGATCAAGATCTACGGGTACAGCAGCGGGGGCGGGAGCATTTATAATGATGGATTTCTCTTCCTCTCTCCCCTATAGATAAAGAGACTTTTGTTTTGCTGATACGATCCTAGCACCTTTCACAGGCACTACATTTGTTTAAATTAAAAACAAGAAAGGCAGAGACACCGAGCACTCTGTATCTGGTCAGTAGATTTCTGTCAGAATCAATAAAAGGGGGCACGACATATGGAAAGGCATTTTATTAACGGCAGAATTAAGCTGAATTTAATAAGAGTGCTCTATGCTACCTTTTGCATTTAAAATATTTCAGTGAGCCATCAAAATAAGTTTATTCACACGGCTTTAATAAAGGTTTAACCCTGCAGCGGAAACAATTAAAAAGTCAGCATTTGCCAGCGGTTACCGCAGTGGTGTGTAGCTTATTGTAGCGTTCGGGCTGTTGCTAAATCCTCCTGCTGCTTCCTCTACAATAGTGATGTGTGGCCTGTGAAATGAGCACTGCGTTTCAAGACCCGAGGTGCCGCCGCCTGTGCTTGGGCTGGGGGTGGAGGAAAGGAGCGGGGTGGGGGAGGTCCCTGCCCTCCTCCAATTCCAAGCAGCAGCCCCGACCTCACCCCGTGAAGGAGTCGGCTGACTCTGGACGTGCTCCTGGAAGGGCCCTGTTAGCAAAGAGGCAGCCAAGGGACAGCAACGGGCACAGAGAGCAGCGGGTGCTGCCGTGTCCTGGCCTCTGGTCCCCGTTCACCCCGTGCTGTAGCCACCCGTGTGCACCTAACAGCTGACTTCTGGCAGCTTCTGTGCCTCCGTGCCTGACTCCTGCTCCGTACCCTCGATGCCCTCTCCACATGCCATCCAGTTCCCTGTGAGCACATCCCCTCGGTGACCCACTGGATCACCTCCTCCATCGCTTCCAGGCTTGGTCTGGCCAACTTGAGGGTTAACACCATAAGCATCTCCTGAAATTGCACCTTTTCTTGCTTGCCCTCCTCCAGCTTTTCACCAGATAAGATCTCCTTCCTCTTTGTGTGCTGTCATCTCTCCTTTACATCACATTCTTCTGTTCGTTATGCACTCCTCGGAGGAAGGACAAAGCTGGGAGTTGCTTTTAATCCAAGGGAAAAGAGTGAAGGCAGCCCTGAAAGGGCGTCTCAGACCTCCTGTTAGACACTCATAACTAAAAGAGCAGCTTTTCACTGGAGCCTTTAAAACACAGAAACCCAGTTAGTGCTGGAACGTCACCTTTCACATCCATCTTTTACATTACATTTCAGCAGAAAAAGCAGAGAGCCTGAGTTGCACAGGGCACAGCAGTGGAACAGAGGAAATTTATGAGCTCCCAGAATTAAAACATTCTTGCAAGAAAGGCAAAAATGGCTTGTGGTGGGTCCTTTATGGGAGCGGGGAGGGAAAGCAAATGACCTTAAGAGATCCTTCAGGGAATACGTCAAGGAACTGGCTCTGTGCACAGAGCTGGGAGCACATGAAACTTCTCCTCATCCCGTGGTACTCAGCACCACAGACCCCCTGAGAAGCCCCTGCCCAGGCGAGGCACAGGCAGAGCAGAGCCTCTGGGTAAGGGAGAGAATGAGGAGGAGAGCAAAAGCCAGCATGAATGAGGAGTGAAAAAGGAGACAAAAAAGGGTACACAACCTGGTGTTAAAAAAAAAAAAAAAAAAAAAAGTACATTAGCAAGGGATTTCTGGTCTTATGCATCATCCCAATTTTTGCAAGCATCAGGCATCATAAGAGTATCACTCCCAGTGAGATATCCCCAAATAAATTTTGTTTTAAACTGTACTAAATAAGATAGTTTAGACTGAATATTATTATACAAAATAAACATTTGTAAATAAAACATATATATAAACATAAATATTTAAGCAATACCAACATTGAATATAGTTCCATTCAAACAGCTACACAAAGGTAATTTTTTAAACCATTCTCAAGCCATTCAAAAACAATAACTTTATGCTCTATAACGATAAAGCAGCGTTCTATGGTCATCATTATCACTATGAAGCAAAAGAGGCATACGAACACGATTATGTATTAATGGCAGATGAACAGCTTTACATGCTATTTGCTATTGTGCTCACATAGTGCATGCTCAAGTATTTACCAAACTGATAATTCTCATAATCCCTGGGAGGGAGTGAACCAGGTAATTTGTAAGACTGTATTTTAAGTTTAAAAGAAATTTCAAATTGATATTTGCTATTCTTAAAATCATTATTATATAATTAGCTTCATTGAAATGAGTTTTGATTTTTGCCCCCCAACCAGTTCTGAGGAACAGGAACACCCATCCGAGACCTTGCATGACACATGTAAGCCCAGAGCAAATTTCTACATTCAAGTTATAAACCCCAGAAAATAGGGATTTATAACAAAAACATTGACAGGCATTTAACCATAGCCATACTAGAGGGTATTGTTATACAACATATCAGTCTCACTTTTATTTTCTTTCAGATCATGTGAAGAGCCATCTGTAATAGTACGTCTCTGGTGATACAAATTACGGAAAGCTATAGGAAAGTTAAAACATTCATTATGGAAATTACATCTCCGCACATACAACCATACAATATGAAACGTTTTCAGATAGAACTTGAAACACACAAAATTTAAAAGCAGCTAACGTTCTTTGAACATACTAGACTAAGATCTTTTCTTGGCTTTTCATTGCTGAGGCCAGATCTGGCAAACACTACGTGCACAGATAATTTCACTGACATGAGCAGTTTGAGAGTTCAGAGGGACAAACGCATAGGAATAAGTCATGTACGTAGCTGTTTGCAAGATCTGCTCCTAAAAGTAATCCTTTATGTTAACAAGATTACTACTAAAAGTCCAGTTCTGAGAGTCAGGAATTTTCCGTTCACAAGCTCTTCGTTTCAATTTTATGGAAAGACATTATACTGAAACTTGGAATTAACAACGGTTTAATAAAACAAATTATGAGAAACTATACCATAGATATTTATTTAATAAAGACTTACACCATATGCCCAGCACCATCTTCATACAGATGTGTTGTATCTTAATCTAATCCTAGAAAAGCATGTTTTCCTACTAGCAATTAAACACTTCACAACAATTTAATATTATCTAGGACTTTATTGTTTCATACAGGTCCTGGAAAAAAATAGCAAGTCTACTCATGTAATGTTTTCATCATTACTTTTGCTTAATTTTACAAATACCATAAATTTCTTTGATCTACAGGAGAAGCAAAGCCAAATTATCTCATGCAAAAACGTGATTTAAGCAGCACAACATTCAAAGTGTTAAAGAAATAAAGGAGATTTTTTTAAGAAATGAGAACCCATAATAATTAAAAGACACAGCAAAGCAAAATAAGGTATCTCTTTACATCTTGGTGGTCTGCTACAGAAAACATATGTACATGGAATCTGCATAATCATTATTTGTATCAGTTACTTGATGGTATGCACTGAAGCAGCTGAAGTGTTTTTTACATTAAAAAATTTGTATTTGTTTTTGTGTTTTCAAAAAGAAAAAAAAAAAAAGAAAAAAAAAAGGGGGGGGTGAGGGTTAATTTCTTTTAATTTCTGTGAACTAAATCCTGGCAGGTGCTGAATGCATCCTGCATTTCCAAAGACATTATAAGCATTCAGCTCTAATACAGCATGCTCAAGAAGTGACACTTCTAAGTCACACAAAGAATAACAGAGCTGCAATCACTGCTGGAAATGAGATCTCAAAGCAACGTGAACAGAGTTTGTGTACAAGCACAGCTTTACATGATTTTCCCCCATGCTCATTCTTTTCCTAAAATACTCCTAAATGTTCATGAGGTCTCAAAGCGTACTTTAGGTATGAATGACTCCTAAATGGGAAGCTTTTCATATAGTTCAGGGTGTGCAAAACCACATATGCTTGGTGCCATCTGCTGGGCCTGCAGGGCTACGGCCAGGCTTTGCAATGCCTGCTATGAAAAAAGTGCTGCGCTTAGGGCGAAGCATGCGCTGGCTGTGCACATATTGAAACGTTTAGTCCTAACTTCGGAAAAGAAATATTTTTAAAATACAATTTGGAAGAATGCGTCCACACCGCAGGTGCTAATATACAAATGGAGAAAGAGCAAGTATAAACACTTCTCTGTCCCAGCTATTAATTCGGTTTACGAGTAGTCCAGCATAACTCACACGTGCTTGCAAAAGTGTCTCAAGGAAGAGAAAGGTCACCCCTATTCTAAGATACTTCTTAACATAATTTCATTCATTTAACTTGCTTCTGATCTACCAGTATGACTGTTTGTTAAATATAAACATCACGTGGCACCATTTTGTTCCCTACAGGATGGTCAGAGGTACCACTACAAGCACAGAAACTGAAAGGACAGTTTCTCATTGAAGTCCTTGTCCTGCAAATATTTAACTGCATGCAATTTGAAAGTGCACTATGAAGCCCAATTCACAGCTAGGCAGTGTTTGTCTCGGCCAGAGCCTTTGGCTTGATATTTAAGCTTGAGGATGAAGCCCCTGCCAGCACCTTGCTCCTTTATACTAAAGGGACAGGGGCTCCAGAGGATGAGCAAATCTCCTTTCGTATCAGATTTTCCATACAGGCAGAAGCAGACAAAACTGCACCATTTCAGACTGAGAGGATACATGGCCTGAAATGATATGGTTGCAGAGCAACGGTTCACACAGAAATGGGTGGTGGGAAAAAGCACTAATAGAGTGCAATGGTAGAAAAAAAGTCATGAGAACTTGGGGCGTTTTCTGTATATTCAAAAGTTGAAGTCACAGTGGATTGTGGCATTTAAACAGATGTTGTCTCTCGATCTCATTCCCATGTTTAATCTGATACATGCTATACCATTTACTTGCAACCCCCTCAGTACACCACACACAAAAAACAAACCAAAGGCAAAGCAAGCCTACACTCATTTATAAGCAGCTGGGGAATTTAGATTACTCTTAAAATATGTGAGATATGTGATTGTATATTATTTCACTGTTAGCAGATGAATTTTGGTTTAGAAAATACATATATACATATATAAATATATATAAATAAATAAATAAATATATATATATATATATAAAAGTAGTTAGCCAGTGGAACTCAATCTATTCATGTTTGCACAGTTATGGATCAAATGCACAGGAATAAGCAGCAGTGCTACTAGCTTTTTATTCCAAAATCTGACTACTGGATTATGCCAGAAAAATGATTTGACAAAGTAAAACAGGTACACAATAGAAAAACCTCCTACAGGCTGTGTTCCTAGCTCACCAACTTTGAGATCCCCTTTCCGGAGCAGGGACAAAATGGCCAGCAGCCCTGCTGCCCCGTTTTTAAGGTAGACACCAGCGATGTGAGCACACATCAAACGGTGCATAACAAGGGCTAAGGAAATTTGCTTATCCTATATTTTTAGGATTTTAAATCTGGCTCAGCAGCAAATAGAACAGGAAACAAAGGTCAGGCCGACACAATGTGGGCTATTCTCTCTCTTCCTCAATATGTGTTTGCAGCTCCTATCTAGGTTAATGGGAGTTTTGAGCACATGTGGGGGAAAACAGAACACAAATGCTGCAAAAATTGGACTCAGATTTAGTTCAAATAAAGTGTAATCAGCTTTAGAAAATCCATCAGCTTGAAAACTGATGTCTTATCACTGAAAAAATCTTTAGAACATCACCTCCATATGCTTGTTAAGTAGAGCTCTGGAAAAAAGTGCTTAGAACATTTTGCACCCTTATGAAACTGTTGTGAGTGCAGTACACGCACCCAAGCTGGTTCTTATTTGATGTTTCAAATACTGATCAGCCAGAATTGTATCTTTTTTTATTCGGGTGTCAAGAAAATTCCTAGTAACATTCAAAATTCACTCACCGTAGCTTTTATTTTCTCTCACATGCCCACGTATGCTGACATTACTAGGCAGATATTACAGATACTGTTTTTGTCCAAGTGAAATACAAAATACTTAGGTTTAAGGTATTAATCGTATCAGTAGTTCACAGAGATGGGGTCTTATGGCAGCTTTCACAGACCTAACAGCAGACCTTGACCTTGGACATTACAGGAGAAGTGCAGCTGCATCTGGGCATTAGGTTGCGTGTTACCATTTAGTTATTTATTTATTTGGAGAAGTGTCATGTAACTAAAGAATATGCTGTCAGAGGAAAGAAAGAATTACATTTTAAATTCTGTTCACTTGTACGTAATTTTCAGTGCATACATATTTAATTCATACTAATAATTTAAAAAGGGACACATCAAGTGCAACTATAGCACACTTTCAAAGATTTTGGAAAACTTCTTAAGTCACCTGATTTAACAGTAATCCATATTCTAAATTCTGTTAAGTATTTTTTTAAATATATAAAAATGGCATTGAACAGAATTGATCTTTAGTTAATTCCACTGCTTTTGCCAAGAATGAGGAAAATAATAAAAAAAATAAATAATAATAAAAAAGAGGTAATTAATTGGACAAGGAAGACAGACAGCATTGCCAAGCGTTCTAATATCTAGGATATGGAAGCCCTCATCCAAGCCAATGACTTTTACCAAAAACAAACAAACAAGTAAACAAACTTCTGATTCCAAGGCAGATTTAAAGACAGCAGAGCAACCCATAGCACACTGTTTCCTGCAGCAGAGACACCGGTTCCTAAAAGGGCCTTCATTACGCATGACACAACAAGCAGCACCCATTCAACCTGAGGGAAGCCCACAGGCTCGCAGGGCCACTGGCTGGCTCTTTGTCACCAAATGCAGCAGGTTGAATGCAGACATCACTGTGATATCCTCACCAACAAAACCAGAGGCAAAGAACAGGGGCAAGAGCTGAGTAGGGAAGAAAAAAAAAAGAAAAAAAAAAAAAAAAGAAAAAAAAAAGATGAGAACAAATTAAAACATCAAAAATGTTAAGATACATACACAGAAAAAAAATAAAACAAACAATGCTTACAGTTTTATCCAAGACCATCACCTAGGAGTGATGCACCTTTCTTAGCTGGTTTCCTCTGATCCCCCCTTTCAGGTTTGGATGTGTATTACATGGTATTCTGTGGAGCAGATTTCTGGGCCACCAAGTGAGGGAGGGGACATTTTTGTGGGGGGCATTCACAACAGATGCCTAAGATACCTACCACAGAGCAACCTGTACGGTCAGAAGTGAGGAGGCACTGAGGGATGCCACTCAGGGCCTGAGGGAGGTGGCAGGAGTCCTGCTTCAACATCCAGTAATGCGGGACAGAGCGAAGGGGCAGGCTTTTCTATTTGTTTTTGAAAATACAATCAAGCTCCACATTTGTGAATGGTGAGTGCTAGGAACCAGTCCTTGCTAAAAATTGTTCTTTTGATGACTTGTCTGAGGAACGTGACATCGCACTGTAATAAACTTCCCAGTTATCTTAAACCCCCGACTTCTTGTTTTAAAGGCAGGAAATAATTCGCATTGTAAACTGTCCATGAGATATATTTAAACAACCTTCCGGGCAGTTTAAATATAGAAAATGGAGAGATGGCAGTCGCAAGATTTTATTTGAGAAGGATTTAATGCACGAATACTAATTGTTCCATTTACCCCACGATGGGAAAGAGGAAACGCAGCTGCCTCGCAGCGCTGGCTTCAGAGGGTTACGGGACATCGGGGCCGCGAGCCAGCCCCCACCAAAGGTGATCCTGAGGCTTTCGGTGACACGGCTGGAAGCAGGATTAAACCCCAGGGGGCTAATGAGCAATGTGGCACATCCACCGGCCTCCTCAGAGCTGCCTCCCTCTGTTTCTGAATATCATAGCGAAGGAGCTGTGGGACACGAGCGCCCAGAAATGAACTGAGGAATGGTTTTGTCTTGGGCATTTCCTGGATAAGATTAAGAAGCCGATCGCGGCCTCTTCCGACCCCCTAACGAACAAACGCGTAATACACGGTCTTATGTATTACCACATCACTCTGGAGTATATCTGATGGAAAACTGCTTGTATTAACATGCCTGAACTCTGACTTCTCCAAACTAAATTCGCTGCAAAACCAAAACATTTTTGTGTTACTAAATGGAGACAAAAAGGAGGGGGAAGGTAAGTACTGCACAATGAACAGCCTGAGAGGGCCATTAAACATAAATAAACATGTCATTTTCACGAGTGACTGCAGGACCGGTTTAAAAAAAAAAAAAAAAAAAAAAAGGAGGGGGGGGGAAATTCCTCCAGAGCAGACTACCGACTAATAAAAGATCAAAGGTCTGTCCGTAACAAACACTACAAATAAAAACCTGATTTTTTTTTTTTATTATTATTTTTTTTTCCCTCCCAGCGACCTTCACCGCCAGGAATAAAGGGCGCAGTGAAGGCGTAATTACCGGGCCAGGCTGCAGCCTCGCCGCGCTCCCGCAGCTGATCATAAAACCCCTTCTTCCCACCCTGCCCCAGCGAGCGCGGGGCCGGCCGGCCGCGGCCATCTGGCTTGTGTCAGCGCCGGCGAGGCCGGGGGAAGCGCGGCGCTGATGTCACCGCGCGGGTCAGCCGGGGAACAAAGGCGTATTTTTGCCCTTAAAAAGCTGGGGTGCCCCAGCAGCGGGGGCCTCCGGCCCGCCGGCGGGGGTGATTTATGGCTCGTGCCGTTCCCGCTCCTACTGAGATAGCCCGGCCCCATCTAGCGGTCGGCGCCACGAGAAGGCCTCGTGAAGGACAGGGCTGGTATGGCGGCCATGAGGCCGGCCACAGAAGCACAGAATCACAGAATTATCTAGGTTGCAAGAGACCTCCAAGATCACTGAGTCCAACCTCTGACCTAACACTAACCAGACCTCCATTAAACCATATCACCAAGCACCACATCCAAACATCTTCTAAAGACTTCCAAGGATGGTGACTCCACCACTTCCCTGGGCAGCCCATTCCAATGCCTCACAACCCTCTCAGTAAAGAAGTCCTTCCTAATATCCAACCTAAAACACCCCTGGCTCAACTTTAGCCCATTCCCCCTCGTCCTGTCACCAGGCACGTGGGAGAATAGACCAACCCCCACCTCACTACAGCCTCCTTTAATGTATAGTGAGGTGGGGGGTGGTCAAGGTCATCCCCAGAGGGCTGCCACCATCCAGCCATCCCCAGGCTGCTAACACAGCCTTGTGGGGCTCCTTGTCCCCATGTGGCGACACCGAAGCCCAAGCCACCGGCCTGCAGACTTGGTGGCACTTCAGCCACCTGGCCTTGTCTCAAAACCCCCCATGCTCTGGAAGCCAAGCTGGGTGGCAGGGGACGGCCCCAAGGTTTAGCAAACCCTGCTCTGCCTCTGTGTGGGGACAGGCAGCACACCACGGGCACGACCAGAGTCATGGTCTGGTCCGCGACGCTGACGTCTGCCTCATGTCATGGCCCTGCGCTCGTGCCCAGCTTGCAGGCTGCCAGCAGCTTCAACAGGAGCTTTGTTTCCTGCAGAGCTCACCAAACAGCTTTGTGACAGCTTGGCTTTGCCACAGCTGGCAGTGCAGAAACTTTTTTGTGGATGTTGTTTCCAGTCAGGAGCATTCTCTGCTATTTTGGAGGCCAGGATACCAGAGGGCAGCCAGACCTTCCCCTGGATGGCTGGGCTCTCACAGAGCTGCCTATAGGAAGCCCACGTGCCTATGAAACATCTCCTCGTGCCACTGGGCACAGGCGTCTGATGAAGCACAGGGCAGACACGAAGGCATCATCCCTGCTCTGTGCTTTGTCTCTCCCGCTGCGTGCTCCATCGGGGCTGCCAAACCTGCTGCTTCGCCCCGCTGGATCTACCTCTCCAGACCAAACCCGCTCCACCCCTCCTGATTTGTGAGAAGTAAACAGGATCATAACTCCCTCGAGTGTAAACAGTTTAAAGGAAATGATTTGAATTTGCCAAGGATTATAAAATAGATCTTGACCTCTTGAAAATGTCAAATATTTCAGTGTTCACCAAAATGTTGTTATTTAGTCTCAAGTATTCGTAAAGTCTTGGAGGATATATAAGTCCTGAAAGCCCAATAAAATATAACTAAGCATTCATGAAAGTATTTTATTGCAGTTAACATATTTTATTCTTTTATTGCTGACGTTTTGATCGCTATTTTTATTTACTCTGTACATTACAGCAGTGCCCAGTAGTTTCAAGTAGGACTGGGACCTCCCGGCGTTAGGTACTGCGTATACACAAACAAAATCCCTGCTGCAGGGTGCTTACAGGCCAAGATTAAAAACTGCTTGTAAAGAATCAGCAAAGGGAAGAACAAAGTCAGAATCATTACGATTGATGCATTTGGTTTGAAGGTTAGATGGCTTTGATGGGGAACAACAGTGACGTAGCTCTGCTAGGTGAGGAAGCCCTGGTTTTCCTGCAGTCAACGCAAGCTTGGCTGTGTACTTCAACAGCTTTAGGAACTGGGTTTGCACCACAGATCTCTTAATAGGAACAGCCAGAGCATGACAAACATAGGAAGGAAACACCATCCTGGAAGTATCTGTGCTGGTGGCTTAAACTTCTGTCCTGTGCCCACCTGGACCTTGGCGGGGCCAAGCAAAGGCCCCACACCACAGCTCAAAGCACTTGCCACAGCCCTGTATGATGGCACCGTAACGTGAGGCTTTCCCAGTGCGACAAATGCTCCAAGAAGAGCCCAGTGCCAAACTGACAAGCCTGGGTGTTAAGATCCCTGCCAGGTCTGTCCCAGCCCTGAACACAAGCCCCGAGCGGCCAGGACACCACTGGCTCTTCCACCGCTGTCCCCGCTACATCATTAGGGGGGATTTGGAAGCCTTCTGCTAGAATTATAAACATCATAACTGCGGGAAAGCCTTCCTTGTAGGATGCTGACATCCCACAGTTGGCAGATGGTGAAGTGCTGCCCGCTTTCAAGACCTAGATCGGCAATCGCAAATGTTGGGAAATCACAAGTTAGGCCCCAAAATAAACAAGATTTGTTAAAAAATAACGTAGGGGGGGGTCTTTCAAATTTGTCCTTCGGAAATGAAACATTTTGTATGTACTCAGGTTGTGTTTTCTCAACCTCTGTCTGCAGCTAGAGAAATTTCTCTGGGGGAAGGCCAACTTGAGAGATAAAATTCTGATATTATCACGTGTTGCTTTTAAGAGCTGTAAGAGAAACATCAAGGGTTCTCAGGAGCTGATAACACTATTGTTTTAAGGTTTTCTGCATTTAGTTTAGTTTAGCGTTTCTCCTGAAAACCCCAGTCCAGATTCCTAAAATTACAAGAGAATCCCAGCTCTCACAAGAAAAACGTGAAGTTTCAGCCCTTTCGCAGTAAATTAAAAAATAACAGTAAAGCAACTGGACACCAATTCTTAAGGGAACAATCTTTTTTTCTTGCACCAATAATGAGACCTCAATAGTGTGAGACTTCTACTTTTTTTTTTTTTCCCCATTTCCCTCCCCCCCAACCCTCAGTCTCTGGCCCCATTTTGAGGACAGGAAACAATTACAGATCCCTACACGCTCGCCAGAGAGCCAGGCTCCTATGTCAGGAATTTCAGTGTCACTGGACAAAGCAAAGGAGCAAAAATACTGCCATCCTGGAGAAATCCTAACAACTACAAGTCAGAAGACAGTAAAGGCCTGGGAAGTTTCTATGGTCAAGTGTTACAGTAACAAGTTAATTTTAATTAGTATTTGTTTTGTTAAGTTTCTCCAGTCGAGCAGAAAGTTCAAACAATTGCTTTGCAAAAGTTTCGGTTTGTTTTGTTGTTGATTTAAGTCAAAACCAAACAAACTATAACCAAATGTTTCACTGATAAAACTTAGTGAAATATTTAATATATGCGTTTATTCCAGTCTTAGCATTTGGATTTATTTTCTGTTTTCCAATTC